ATATATATATATATATATATATGTATGTGTGTGTATATATATATATATATATATAATGTAAATCAAATAAATCAAGTTATAACCCATGCTGTGTAAAGTATATAAACTTTAGCTTTAGCTGTAAATGCCAATCTATATCTTAATCTATATCTAACTTCTGTGAATGCTGTGATGATTCATATAATGATCATCTTCTTTGTGTGATGGATGATCAGCCATGAACATGAGAAATGACGAGACTGAACATGAAAAACTAAAACAAGTCATTTTGATGAGGATCTCACAAAGTTTGGTTTCCTCTGTGTGTGTCGGTTCAATGAACAGTTAACTGACAATAATCAGGACGATTGAACTAGCCTTTGGAACTGACCAAATGTTCTCCTTTTCTTCATTTTATAAATGGTTTTCACGATCTGTTGCATTAAAAGCAGAAGTGTTCGTTCAGCTTTAGTCCTTTCGTTTAATCTGTGAGTCTCATTTCAAATCAAGAAGGTGTTTATATGGTGATAGTGTGTGCATGGTGTGTGCAGGTGTTTGTCGGGGCTTGAGCGATGGCACAGAGCTGTCCGGAGGGTCAGTACATGGACAGGCTGCTGCGAGAGTGTGTGTCCTGCAGTATGATCTGCCACGACTCTGTGATTCCCACACGCTGCTCTCAATACTGCGGTAAGTTACCTCGTCGTCTTCAGCTCACGCGTGTCCAGAGCAGGCTCTGATGATGACTGTGATGTTGTGTGGCAGTGGCCTGGAGATGTAAAGCCGTGTCCGGTCAGTTCTACGACACGCTGCTGAAGAAGTGTCTGAAGTGCTCCGAGCTGTGTGGCAGTCATCCAGAGGCCTGCGCAGACGCATGCAGGAGTGAGTCGATGAGGCACAGCACCCTAAACACAGCTCAGAACAAACACACTTAACATTTGAGCTTCTCAATACACAGAATTACATTATAAGTGCTGTGCTTCCAAGTACTACTGAAGCTGGTTTTCTTTCGAAGAATTGTGTTTATAATATCTCTTAATTGCAAGTTGTAGGGTTAAAGCTGTCATAATTCTTCTGACTTTTCTTTTTCTTCAAAATTCTGAGGTTACATCTCACACTTGTGACTTTTTTTTTCTTCAGAATTCTGAATTCAAATTTCACAATTAAGACTTTTTTTCAGAATTCTAAATTTACATTTCACAATTCTGATTTTTTTTTTTTCAGAATTCAGTTTACATCTCAATTTTGACTTTTTTTCAGAATTCTGAGTTTACATCTTGCAATTAAGACTTTTTTTTTTAAATTCTGCATTTACATTTGATTATTTTGACCATTTTCTTTGGCACTCTAAGGGGTAAAAGTCATAATTACAAGAAGAAAGGCTGAATTGTGAGATATACAGGCCTACTTAGAATTGTGACAAAGTCATAATGGTGAGATAAAAAGTCACAAATACTGTTTTTTTAAGCAGTCCATGGTGGTAACAAGCTTCAATAAAATACTACCAGCTGCCTATGCAGTCTAATAGTTAGAAATGAACCATGGTTTTATTATAGTAATAGCATAGTACCCATGGTTTTTGGTGTAGGCTATTTTGCTATTTAAAAAAAAAAAGTGTCTGTTCTACAAATAAAAATGACATGCATGTATATTCTATAGCTTTATGTTGGCTGTGAGCGCTGTAACTGTGATCCAGGCACAGGAGCGGTGTTCGTGACGCAGAGGCCTGATGTCCCCGGCAGAGGGCTGTACTCGGAGGCGCTGCTTTACTCGCTGCTAGGCCTCTGCATCATAGTGCTGGTGTTCACGCTGACCGCTGCTTTCCTGCTGCTGCTCAAGAGAGCCAAACACCAGCGACCGCTGGACACCAAGAAACAGCAGCCCAACAAACACGGACAGTCCTCCGAAGGTGATTCATACTCAGCTACACTATGAGGGATCGCAAAACATATTCTCCAAAAATATTGGATGTTTTTGGTTTAACTTTTGTTTCATCTATCATTATATATTATGGCAGTGTTAATAAATATGAATAAAATATATAATAAATATATTTTCTCTCTCTCTCTGTATGTATGTATGTAATGTATTTCTCTATAAATATTGAATGTTTTTGGTTTAACTTTTGTTTCATCTATCATTTTATATTATGGCAGTGTTAATAAATAAAAATATATTTCATACAATATATATATATATATACACATAGGAAAAAATGTTTTGACAAAATCGAGACAAATAAAATAATTCAAGGTCATATTATTCATTTATTTTTGTCATAACATTATTTTTTACATACAAATATTTAGTTAAAAATGTTGATTATTTTGACATTTTGATTTCAACATATTTCTTATAGTTCTACATACTTAAAACATTGAACCTGATTTTGGTGTAACTTAGAACAATGTTCAAAACTTCTTTATCTAACCTAAATATAACTATGTGCATGTATAATAATTATTATTTGTATAATAAAAATATTTATGGACTTTATCTATTTTATTAAATTAACAACTGACATTTAAATTAACCATGTTATTTTTTTATGTACAAATATTTCAGATTTATTTTTACAGTATGGTTCAGATGGGATGTTCTTGATGTAGGTCTGCGCTCTCACTCGACTGAATGTGTTTGTGTTTTGCTGCAGATTCTCTGATGGCTCGGGCGGATGAAGAGCCTCCGGAGCGGCCGAGGGCCACAGAAACCTGCGTCTACTGCTTCTCTGAGCACACAGACGCGCTCCAGACACACAGCGAGACGAGCCGAGCGCTCCGGATCATCTGCTCACCGACACACACCAGCATCTCAACATAGTCACGCACACATACCTGTACCGCACGTCACTCCTCAAGAATTCCTATGGAAAATAACTTCAGCTTAGTTTTAATAAATGCTGTATTTTATAGAGCACAACACACTTTGAAGGCCTCTTGACTCTGAAAGTACCTCATTCAATTTCATAAAATTAATCATTATATTATTGTGTGTGTGTATATATATAGTTATATTTATACACACACACACACACACACACACACACACACTCTCTCACACACACACACACTCACTCACACACACACTCACTCACACTCACACTCTCTCACACACACTCTCACACACACACACTCTCACACACAACATTGTTATAAAAGATTTATATTTTACTTTTTATTCATCAAGGAATCAAAGAAAAAAGTATCATAGGTTCCAAAAAAGAAATAAATAAGCAGCACAACTGTTTCAACACTGATAATAAATCAGAATATTAAAATGTTTTATTTGATTAGAAATACAGAAAAGACAGTAATAAAATCTTTTGTAACATTATACAATACTGCTCAGAAGTTTGGGGTCAGTGCTTTTTTTTTTTTATATATATATATATATAAAATACATTTTTTATGTATATATTTGCATACATTTCCAGAACAGAAAGCAAGATTGTAAACTCTGGTTTGATTTTGTTGATATATTAAAAGTTGTATATAGAGAGTATTTTTAACTTTTCTTTTTATCACTCCATAAATCAGACAAACAAAAATACATTTTCACCATGATTTTAGGATTGAAATGTTGTATAAGAGCAGGTGAATGTTATATAAACAAACCCCTCAGTAAAAACCTTTATGAGAATAATGTAAGTGCTGCTGAAGCCTTTCAAGATATGGACTGATACTGAAATCTACAGACGCAAATATATAAACTACAATAAAATAAACACTAAAATGTGTATTTTGGATATTTTTTCCACACTTTTCTGCAAGAGGACATGCTATGGAAGCAAAACAGCCCCAAATCTGGATGAAAAGCAACGGTTTTGCCTGAAGCGTCTCGCCTTAAAAGAGTTTCATCTGATTTGTTTTCATCAGAAATAAAGATGGCCTAAAACACGAGCATAAGAGACGCTGAATGCAGAGAATGTTCAAAATCAGAACAAAGGATTCAGAGAATCACGAAAAGACAAATTAAGAGAGAAAAAAACAGAGAGACTTCAGAGAAACGAACGCTGAACTTCATCCGGCTGAGAACCAATCACACAACACGGTGCTTTTTCTTCACCATTTTTTTTCTCCATTGATTTCTTTTACATACATACATACATACTATACATAGATACATAATTAACATTTATAAAATCCTCCCCAAAGTCTTTTAGCATCCAGTTTGAACAGCATGCCAAATTTGAGTACTGATTCAGTACACACACACACACACACTAACACCACCAACACACAGGTGCACACATACCTGCATGCGCACACACACACACACGTGGCTGAGGATAACACTGCTGAATCAAGCCGTGGTGGCGACAGGCATCACACAAAAGGAAAACGTCTTCATTCACAATGCATTTGAAACACGACCGAACCAGCAACCCAGACCAAGTCCAACCAAAGACTAAACACACAAACAGCTTCTTTCCATTCGCTCCGAAGCACACGAAGAGATGAGGGTATAGGACACGGAAACAGAAAGCAATGACTTATAAAAATAGATTTATATATAGATTTGCGTGTGCGAGTGACATTTCCAGCCCAAAGAAAAAGACGAGGAGAAACGAGGGCGTCGAATGAAAAACACAAAACGAATCAAAAGTGCTGGACGAGGACAGGATTTCCAAACTCAAGTGACGCACGACGATATAGGTGTACGCTCAAGTCAATAACACCATTCTGTTGCATTCAGTACATCGAGAATGCGTACGAAGAAATAAAAAAGGACTATTTTCCCTCATATACTTCTCGGAAACCCATCGGAGGAGGATGAGAAAGCGATTGGTTCTGGGAGAAACGCAGCTGAGTGAGATGATGTCAGTCTGTGTCTGTAGTGAGGCTCCTCCTCTTTCTGTCAAGTATGCTCCGGTTGCTCAGTGCAGATTGGTTTAGCCGTGTCTTTTGTTTTTTTTAGTTCTATGTTGTTGTTTTGATTTTCTTGAGTGAGAAGGGTGCATCTGTGTGTGTCTGTCTGTGTGTGTGTGAGAGTGTGTGTGTCTGTGTGTGTGTGTGTGTCTGTGTGAGTGTCTGTGTGTGTGTCTGTCTGTGTGTGTGTGTGTGTGTGTGTGAGTGTGTGTGCGTGTGTGTGGTAACGCTCTTCTCATATGATCCTCCCTTCACAGCTTTGACTCGGCCACTCCTGCATCGCCATTATTCATATTCAAGGAACTGCTTATGGTAAAATAACAAGTACCTGCAAAACAGGAGAACACAATTGTTAGAAACAGTAAAAAATATATATATTTTACAAAGGAGAGGTATTTTAATATCTTTGACATACTTTTATAATGAATAATTATTACCTTTATATTTTTCGTTTTAATTTTAGCTACTATATGGTTATATATAGTCGTTATAGATTTGACAAATTTTCATCGTAAAAGTATTTTTACAAATTTGAGCCTGGAGCACAAAACCAGTCATAAGTGTCATTTTTTTTTAAATTAGCAATTATACATCATCTGATTCCATTGATACATGGTTTGTTAGGATAAAACAATATTTGGCTGAGATGCAACTATTTGAAAATCTGGAATCTGAGGGTGCAAAAAAATAAAATATTGAGAAAATCATCTTTGAAGTTGTTCAAATGAAGTTCTTAGCAATGCATATTACTTACATATTACTAAATTAAGTTTTGATATATTTACGGTAGGAAATGTACAAAATATCTTCATGGAACATGATCTTTACTTAATATCCTAATGATTTTTGGCATAAAAGAAAAATGTATAATTTTGACCCATACAATGTATTGTTGGCTATTGCTACAAATATACCCCAGTGACTTAACACTGCTTTTGTGCTCACAAATAAAGTTATTTTAAAATGTTTTATTTCAATTAACTTATTTTTTTATTTCAAGTAATGATTTTGTTTAACTTAAAAATTAAATTTAATTAAAAAAAATATACATATATTTTTTTTATTTCTGCTTTAGTTATTTTGGTGCATCAGGTCAAACTAAATGAAAATGTTACCCTGGCAAACAGCTTAAACCTTAAAACAGCTTAAAAGTTTTTTTTTTTAATTATTATTATTAGCTTTTATTTTTTCAAGTGTCTTTACTTTTAGTTCACTATAATAACCCTGTTACAGAGCATTTACTTACTTTCTAGAAACAAAAGGCTTTTATATGACAAAACCAGCTTTTCCTTTTATGCTAAAAGAAGCCTAAAGGCCACAAAACTTATTGAAACACTTAAGTCAGTAAATTATATTTAACTTTTTATTATATGTATATATATATTACACCCTATAATGTAAATTATGAATGCCCCTGTATTAAATACAAAATACTAAACCAAGCAAGCAAGAATTATTATATAGCAAGCACAAGCTCACTTTAAATAAGATTTTACAGTAAATAAAAAGTTAATTCTAGTGCAGTAGGTATATACACATCAAAACTAATTACTGTGCAATTTTGTAGAGTAATAGTACACAGTACTATAGAATTTTAATATTTCTACACATTTCTTATTTAAAATAATAATAATAATAATGCTATTATTATTATTAAATGAGAAATGGATAGAAATATTATTAGTTACTAATGTGTGTAAAACAACGATAGTAAAATATTAATACAGTAGTACTAGCAGTAATAATAATGATTTTAATAATAATAATAATAATGTTAAAGAAATTTGTGAAAAGTGAATCCTGGCAACAATTTTTCGATTGTTTTTCTATATGTATCACATAATATTAATTTGTATTTATTTTATCATTTTTAATTGCTATTATATAAAACAGCAACAACAACAATTGTGTTGTTGTTGTTATTATTATCATCATGAGTACTATTATAAGAATTATTATTATATTTATTAAGAAATAAAAATATTATTTGCTAATGTGTGTAAAACAAAAAAGTACTGCACTATTGTATAAACACAGTAGTACTACTATACTGTAAATAATAATAACGAAATAAGTATTTATAAATCATTTATTGCAAATGTCCCTGGTTTGATATTTAGTTTGTACTGCAGTGACTCGGATGTCCAAACACTGGTGAGTGTGTGTGTGTGTGCGAGAGAGAGTGTGTGTGTGTGTGCGAGAGAGAGTGTGTGTGTGTGTGCGAGAGAGAGTGTGTGTGTGTGTGCGAGAGAGAGTGTGTGTGTGTGTGCGAGAGAGAGTGTGTGTGTGTGTGCGAGAGAGAGTGTGTGTGTGTGTGCGAGAGAGAGTGTGTGTGTGTGTGCGAGAGAGAGTGTGTGTGTGTGTGCGAGAGAGAGTGTGTGTGTGTGTGCGAGAGAGAGTGTGTGTGTGTGTGCGTGTGCGTGAGAGAGTGTGTGTGCGAGAGAGTGTGTGTGTGCGCGTGAGTGTGTGTGTGTGCGTGAGTGTGCGTGCGTGTGTGTGAGAGTGTGTGTCTGTGTGAGTGAGTGTGAATGTGTCTGTGTGATAGTGTGTGCGTGTTTGTGAGAGTGAGTGTGTGTGTGTCTGTGTGAGTGAGTGTGTGCGTGGGTGTGTGTGAGAGAGTGTGTGCGTGTGCGTGTGCGTGTACGTGAGTGTGTGTGTGTGTGTGTTTTGTGTGTGTGTGTGTGAGAGTGTGAATGTGTCTGTGTGAGTGTGAGTGTGAGTGTGAGTGAGTGTGAATGTGTCTGTGTGAGTGTGAGTGCGAGTGAGTGAGTGAGTATGAGAGAGAGACTGACCCCTCGCTGTCCAGAACATCTTTAATGCTGGCTTTAGTGATAATGGCATCATCACATTTAAACCACTGGTCCTTGTGCTGGCGGATGAACGTGGTGTAGTGGCCGCTCTCCAGCGTGCCCTGATGATTGACCACCGCGAACAGAGAATACCTGCAGCAGACACACAGACGCGTCACAGGACCAATCATCACGCCGGATCACACTGAACGCAGCAGACGCTCACTCACTTGTTTTCGTTGTTCAGCGAGTCGACAGGCTGCTGGTACTGTCCGTTCATCCGGCTCTCTTTACTGGGACACAAACAGGACAGACGTCAGGACATTCTCTTACTGTGAGCTAGAGATGTAATGGTATGAAAATTTGGTAACACTTTAGAATAGGGAACACTTATTCACAATTAACTACGACTTTTCCCTCAATAAACTCCTAATTTGCTGCTTATTAATAGTTAGTAAGGTAGTTAAGTTTAGGTATTGAGTAGGATTCGGGATGTAGAATAAGGCATTAATATGTGCTTAATTAGTACTAATAAATGGCTAATATTCTAGTAATATGCATG